ATAATTAAGATGTATTATTGCTTCTTCAATCTTCTTTATTCAATGTCCAACACTGACATGCATATGAAACAATTGAAAATACCATGACTGAGGTTCGGTGCATCTTAAGTCTTCAAAGCAACATCCTTGCTTTTCAATGTTCTAAGACAGCTTGTGCAGCAGATTTACCGAACGCTCTACATCACTTGATATCTTGGCGGGGGGTGGTCTCTAACTGCTGAGCTTGCTGTTTACAGCCCTTGGCATAACCATTAGGCCGCTAGGACTTCTCTATCTAACCATAGAGCTCTCCAAAAGGAGAAAGGTGAGTGTGATCATCACAAACACATGATATGTAGTGGCTCAGAGTCAAAGGGGTCCCTCAGAAGGTCCAACCAAAGGTTTTGGCCAACCCTGGAAGACATGAGAGCATAAATCTTTCCATATATAAATAAAAGACATTTTATTTTGTGGATGACACAAATGACCCTGATGATTCCAGGTTTTTATCCCCCTTGGTTTTTTCCCCCCTTTTTCTTTTTTTCGTAGCTATATGCACTTCTTCCTTTTTCTCTTTCTCATGGAGCATGGCTTCTCCTTTCCTACCTGTGTGGGAAATTATGGTTCAAAGAAATGCGCGGGGCATCCAGAAGCCAGAGAAGCCTTTTTTAAACCTTTGAAGGTTGGAATTGCAAGAAAGTAAAAGCAAACCAAAACCGAAAAAGCCTGCAGAGTGCAAGGCTCAAGGTAACTAATGGATGATTCGGGTTTAATTTTACAGTTTCAGCTCAAGAGTTGTCTCGTTTTTTTCCCCCTAGTAAATCTTGATTCGAAAACAAAGCTTCTGAATCTCTAGTTGTAGCAAACAGTAAGAAAGTGCCTCCACCCCCACAAGTTAAAACAAGGTTAAAAAAAAAGTTTTGGGTCAAAAAATTTAGAAAACCGTTTGTTTTTTTTTTAGATTGTAGAGAGCGAAGTATTAGGCTGCTGACCACAAGGTAAGTGATGCAAATCCACCAGCTGGTCCTCAGGAGAAAGATGAGGCTGTTTGCTCCTATAAAGTTTTGCAGTCTTGGAAATCCAAAGAACAGTTCTATTCTGTCCAATGAGATGACTATAAATCAGAATAGACTTGATTGCAACAAGGCCTTGGCTACCCCAAGCAACAAGGTTTAAGGCCAGCTCCCAAATTGTATGATCTTCTTGCCTTTTCTTCCTCAACCTGAGAAAGAGGAAAAGGGGCCCATCTGTCTCACAGCTTTCCCACTCCCTCCCCCATCGACACAGGAATCATTCAGAAATAATTTTATTTTCATAAATGTCATTGTATTTACTATGAGTTTAAATTAGATCCTCATTGAACGATGCCAACACAAATTATCGGAGCCCTGGTGGCTTAGTGGGCTACCCATTGGGTTGCGAACCACAAAGAAAGAAGTTTGAAGCCACTCCAAGCACCATGGGAGGAAAGCAAGGCTTTCTGCTCCTGTAAAGAGTTACAGAAACAGTTCTATTCTGTTCTATAGGGTTCCTGTGAGCAAGATAGAGTTGATGTCAGTGAGTTATTACCTGTTTTACACAAATTATTTCTTCAATTGCCGAGCTGTGTTTTGCCCTAATATCTTCCGTGCAATTTGAACTTCTTCTTTCAACACCATTGATGCTTGAACACACACCTGCTCTCAAAATGGTTGGATTCACCGCATTCTTTTTGGTACAGTGACTCTTTGTATTCCGTCTATCTTCTTTTGATATTTCCAGCATCAACCAATCTTTGGGCTATAGAATCTTTCAATATTGAAACTTGAGGCTCACATCTTTTTCTTCTGTTCTTTCAACTTGAAAAGTGCTGAGTGTGTTCTTTACTTCTGGTTTTCTAACTCCAGGTCTCGGCACATTTCATTGCAATGCTTTATTTTCTCATGTTAAATTTTTATTTATTTAATCCTTCAAAGTCCCTCCCTCTCAGCTATTAGCCAATGCATTAACAAACACTCTGTGTCACCCAAGGACTCCTGATGTTAATGACATTCATTCTTCAGAATTAGTGTAAGATTTGGAGATATCCCACTCGTCTGTCACATATTACACAATATGATGTTGTCTAAGAAAAACAAACTAAATCAACCACAAGTTATGTGGTAGGACGGGGTGGGAATAAAGGTTATGGCATTTGTGTTCAGTTTCCTCATTATTTCAACGACTGCTTTTGAAGTATCATCTTTTAATTTGAAAAGATATGAAGGGGCCCTGGTTGTGTAATTGTTAAGATCTGGTCTGTTAACCGAAAGACCATCTGTTTGAACCTATCAGTAACTCCTCAGGAGAAAAGACCAGTTATTCATCTGCTCTCAGAAAGATGATAGCTTAGGAAACTCTATAAGGCATTTCTCTTCTGTTCTATAGGGTTGTTGTGAGTCTGAATGAACTTGATTGCAAAACAAAGCAATACAAAATGCAGTGCTACCCTCGTGAAATTTCTTTCTTGGATGTGAAGCCATTATCCAAGTAGGACAGTTTGGGACAGCGTGGACAGTTCGGCTAAGACTAGAGAAGTAGTTTGGTTTAGTTTGTTTTTTTTTTAAATCAATTTATTGCGGCTCATACAATTCATCACAATACATAGATCAATTGTGTAAAGCACATCTATACATTTGTTGTCCTCATCATTCCCAAAATTCGCTTGCCTCTTAGGTTCCCGGAATCCGCTAATTTTCCTTTTCCCCCTCCCCTTCCCTTCCTCCTCCCCTCTCCCCCATGCACCCTTAATAATTTATAAATTGTTATTGTATCTTATATTACACTGCCCGGCGCCTCCCCACACCCACCCCTACTTTTTATATTTCCTTTACGATCTAAAGTATCCTCAGGATTCAGTATGCTACAAACAAACAGAGAACAAATCTAGTTGCCGTCAGGTAATTTCAACCGAGGGTAAGGAATAGAATTGTGCTCCACAGGGTTTCCAATGGTCAACTTCTCAAAAAGTAAATTGCCAGGCCTTTCTTCCGAGGATCCTTACGGTACATTTGGACCTCCTTCCTATCAGTTATTAGCCAATGCATTCAGAAGCACTTTGTGTCACCCGGGACTCCTGCTTATGCGTGTCATGCTTTGAAACAGACCCAAGAGACCATTAACATTAGAGCCCTGGTGGCAAAACGGGTTACCTGCTGGGCTGCTAAGGAAAAGTCCGAAGTTCAAAACTCAGCCAATTCTGGGGAGAAAGATGAGGCTTTCTGCTAAAGGCTTACAGCCCCGTTACCAAAAGGAGCTGTTCTAATCTGTCCTATGGGGTCATTATGAATCAGAATTGACTTGATAAGCAGTGAGGCTTGTTTGTTTTTGGTGGTTGTTTAGATTTTTGATATAGATAGATAGATAGATAGATAGATAGATAGATAGATAGATAGATATTTAAGATATTGACTCCAAAGAGCAAACCAAAGCAAACTCACTGCCATCAAGTCAATTCTGGCTCATAGCAGTTCTGGGAGACAGGACTGGACTGCCCTCGTTGGGATTCTGAGACTAACTCTTTATGGGAGTAGAAAGCCTCTTCTTTCTCCCGAGGATCAGCTGGTGGTTTCAAACTGCTGACTGCTAGATCAGCAGCTCAATGTGTAACCACGACACCATCAGAGGTTCTAAGATTGGACAGTATACGGATATTTTCGATTTATTTACTGACATATTATCTTATTCTTAATAATCATTATGTTTGTTTTAAAACTAGGCTTGGAAGGCAGAGCAGATAGGGGGTGGAATGGGGAGGGGAGAAACGCACCGCACTGGGATGATGTCCCGCTAATGGACAGTCACAGTACAGGGGAACATTGTAATGGGGCCCTTGAATCACCTTCCCAGGGATTTGGGTGGGGCGGGGCCACTGAGAGCTTTATTCCTGGTGGGCACTTAGGACTCGGAAGCAGTGGTCCTTAGACCCTTCCAGAGGCAAAAATGCATCCTGGAGGATTTGTTGTGATGTGAAAATAGTGTAGGAGGGAAAACTAACAAATAATCATGTCCTGGGGGCCAACATCTGGGATTTACTAGGGAGCTTCTGGTTTCAGTTCTCAGGAATGGGACAAAGGGCTCAGGAAGTGGGGAGTTATGGAACTTTTAGATGGAGGCTACAGAAAGAACAAGTCGGGGGCGGGGTGAGGCTGAGGGTGCAGAATGGACGTGGGGGAGGGGCGGAGGTGGTACCCAAGCATCTCCTTCAAATCCGGCTCCACGCTCAGAGAGCCCGAGGCTGGAGGTGCAGAAAGGGCGTCTACTTCTTGAGTTGCTCTTTCGCTGGCAAGTCACAACCAGGGAGGAAAGGGGGCAGCCTGCTGGGGAGAGCCCAGTCCGCGGCCCGGGGCAGGCTGCCCCACCTGGTTGCCCAGGCGGGCGGGCGCAGTGACCTGCCCGACTCTAGTCTTCAGCTCGGCAGGGGCGGCGCACCTCACTGCACCAACCTGCGGGGCCGGCAGGCGGCCCCTCCCACACGGCACCCCCGCCCCGCAGCCCCC